GATCGAAGAATACAAATCGTGTATGTGTTTTGACAGGTGGTTGGACCTCACGCCACAGTGCTGGCATCTCACGTGGAACATTACTGAAAACCCTCGTTTAGATCGGGAGGCCGAAAGAAGAATTCGTCTGGGCTGGGCGGCCTATGGGAAACTTCGTCATATCTTGGAGTTGCCGATCTCCTAATGCGTGCGATGGAGCGTGCGTGTTTCTCTAGTGACTAGAGAAACACGCACGCCCCGAATTTTATCGACTAGTCTAGTCGATAAAATTCGTAACGAAGTTATTTGACAGAGTACAGAACGCTGAGGTGGAAGAGGGCCGGTCATGTCTCCACTGATGGTCGCTGGAGCCGACATGTGCTAGAGTGGAGACCGCGATCAGGCAAACTTAGTGTAGGGCGCCCTACTGCACAATGGATAGACGACTTGAGGAAAATGGCTGGCAGCGAATGGATGCGAACTGCCCAAAGCCAAGCTGGTTTATGCTCCATAGGGGAGGCCTTCAGCAGTCGACGGCAATAGGCTGAAGTAGAATTCCTTCACAATTTTGAAATCTAAATCACCTTGAATAGATCATGCAATCTAGTTAACAGTGCCTTGCAAGATGCCAATTCAGTCTAAAACCACACAAATTTATCTCACTAATCTCTATAACAATTTAGTAACTTAATAGGAAATTCCTGAGCCTACAACAAATCTTCATCAAATTTGCTAGTCTAGGAGAACCAAAAATAATAATATAGCCTCGTTAAATTTTAAATATCAATTATTTTTTGTATGTCATAAGTTTTAAAAGGCAAAATAGAAATAAAATTTTATAAGATTATTAGACTTACAATCAACAGGATGCGACTAATTATTTGGCAGCGATAAATGTTCACAAAAATTATTTTCAAAATTTGTATTATTCACAATACACTAAACTATTTTATGTAAGTCAGGTCTTTTAAAATGATTTATAAGTTTAAATTTGGACCGACAGGATCTGTCCCATGTTTCTTAATAAGTAGAGGAATTAGAATATATTAAGAAGCATAGGAACAACGCTTTACGAAATTCTAAATAAACCATACACCATTCATACAACTTCTACCAATCATAGTATCTATCTAATTAGATAATACGTCTCGTTGATGTTTAATAAATTTATTAATATTATTTTCATCTTGTCCAATTTTTACTTTGACAGAAACAGATGTATCATAAAAAGAAAATATTTGACCTACTAAATGATGTGGTTTGCAAGATCTGAACATACATTTCTTTTCTTGTATTCATCAACAGCCTTTAACAGTCCACTGCTGGACATAGGCCTCTCCTTAGAAAGGAGGTTTTGGCCTACTATACTACGCTGGCCAGACGGGTTGGTATAGGGTTTTTGTCAAGTTTTCCTTCTCTCTGTAATGCTGTTGTTCTGCGTAGTTTTTTCCCTTAGTCGGCTCTTACGACACACACGGGATGAATAGGGGTGGTGACATCTGTATTCTTAATCCGTCACCACACGGACTATCTTGTATTACCTCGCCCTTAATCTTTAATCCCGTAACCTTAATCTTTAAAATTCAAGTTACATTTGAGGATATCAAAAAGATTGTTGTTTTGATTATACTCGTAGTAATAGATTATTATATGTTTTAACAAATGAGCAGAGGAATGATTTTAATTGCTCAGTTTTTATGCTTATCATATTATTAACCCCATCTAAGGCAGGGTGCCTTAGATGAGGCCTTTACTGTATGTAGTAATAACCTTATTTTTTTCTTTTCCTGAACATGGATGTAACAGGTTTAAATCATTGTCTACGTAAGCGTTGTATCTTTTCTGTATTGCGTTTGTTTCTAGAGTGACGTGTGTCCAAAGGTGGCTCTTATAACATTTGTCACCACTGGCAACATATGGATTTTCTGTTTCCTATTTGTCACCATTGGGAATAAAGACAGTGGTGACAACTGCTAATAATCTGATCAACTCATGTTGACGACAATATGGTTTTCGGCGGGGAACCATATTGTCGGTTATTGATTGGTGAGAGACTGGTCTTTAGCCAAGGCAGTCCAGGGGAATTCCTGTAGCCAATCACTTCCAAACCTACAGATGGGCCATGATTACTTGGCCTACGATGCCAAAGAGAAAGCCGATCTCCTAGGCGAACTCTTTGCGTCCAACTCGACTTTGGGTGAAGGGGGAAACATACCGTGGTTAAGTTATAAAGAAAAGCTACATGTCAGTCTCGATCACCCTTTGTGTCACATTTTTTCAGATAAACATAGAAACATAGTATCAGTCAGTCAGTCAACAGCCTTTAATAGTCCATTGCTGGACATAAGCCTCTACTTAGGAAGGAGGTTTTGGCCTACTATACCAAGCTGGCCAGACGGGTTGGTATAGGGTTTGTGTTTAGAGGAGCGTACCGTCGTGTACGAGGACCGAGAAGGTAATTTGAGGTGTCGGCCCATGTCGTGCGGTGTTCCACAGGGGTCTGTTCTTGGACCCCTCTTGTGGAACATAGGGTACGACTGGGCCCTTCGCGCCGATTTCCCCCCCGGGCTGGGTGTAATCTGTTACGCAGACGATACCCTGGTGACAGCCCGGGGGGCAAACTTCCAAGAGGCGGCGCGCCTGGCCACAGGGGGAGTCTCCCTGGTGGTCGGGCGCATTGAGGCGCTGGGCTTACGGGTGGCCCTAGATAAGACGGAGGCCCTGTTATTTCATGGGCCCCGTCGTGGTCCACCCCCTGGCGCCTCAATAGTGGTCAACTCGGTCCTCGTACCAGTTCGGGCCCAGATGAAATATCTGGGCCTGATCCTCGACGGGAGGTGGCTCTTCGACGAGCACTTCCGACAGCTTGCTCCAAAGCTGGTCGGCGCTGCGTCTGCCCTAGGGCGACTTTTGCCCAATATGGGTGGACCCAGCGTCGCGACAAGACGGCTGTACACGGTGGTTGTCCGGTCAATGGCACTGTACGGTGCACCGGTGTGGGCGGCGGCTCTGACCGCCCAGAATAGGGTACGCCTCTGGCGCCCTCAGAGGGTAATGGCGGTCAGAGCCATACGCGGTTACCGCACCGTTTCGACGGAGGTGGCGTGCGCGTTGGCCGGAACTCCCCCGTGGGATTTGGAGGCGGAAGTGCTCGCCGAGGTTTATGGACGAGTGGCTGACTCCCGGGCGGAGAGCGGATTTCGCCCTCCGCCCGAGGATGTGCGCGAGTGGCGCGAAGCCGCTCGCCGAGCCACGATGGCTCGTTGGTCGTTCCGGCTGGAGACTCCACGCGCTGGCTTCGCCGCCGTGGAGGCTCTCCAGCCGGTCATCGCCGAGTGGGCAGGGCGGCAGCACGGGACCCTTTCCTTCCGGCTGACGCAGGTGCTTTCCGGGCACGGTTGCTTCGGAAAGTACCTGCACACGGTCGCTAGGAGGGAACTGAGTCCCGCCTGCCACCACTGCGACTGCAGTGAGGACTCGGCCCAGCACACGCTGGCGGTCTGCCCCGCATGGGCGGCGCAGCGCCGGGCCCTCACTGCAGTCATCGGAGTGGATCTCTCGCTACCGGCCGTAGTACGCTCCATGGCCGGTAGCGACAGTTGTTTTACCGCGGTCGCAACCTTCTGCGAGGTAGTAATCTCGCGGAAGGAGGCGGCGGAGAGGGCCCGGGAGGACGACCTCCACTCGGACCCGATCCGCCGCCGGCGAACCGGGCGGCGGAGGCCCCCCTATCACAGCCTCATGCCGCCCTGAGTGTGGCCGCGGGTGGCGCGACATTGAGACGGAGCCCGCACCAGGAGCGGGCTGGCGCTAGGAGGGGTCCGGATGTCTTAACAACAGCTGTTCCCGGATCCCTCCTGTTACAGGCGCAGAGTGGCACACCGTGTGGTTTTAGTCGGTCCGAGTCCGACACACCACCCCGCCGCAAACCCCGGAGGGGTGACGGTCCGAGGGGATTTCCACACGTTAAAAAAAAAAAAAAAAAAAGGGTTTGTGTCAAGTTTTCCTTCTCTCTGCAGTGCTGTTGTTCTGCGTAGTTTTTTCCCTTAGTCGGCTCTTACGACACCCACGGGATGAATAGGGGTGGTGACACTTTGTATTCTTAATCCGTCACCACACGGACAACAACATAGTGTAAGAGCACCAAATACAATCTTATTAACTAAAATTTATGTACACGAGTAGGAATGCAAACGAAACCACAGTGCACCGATCTACTGAATCCACGGAGCAAATACAAAGACTGAATGTAACTATTTATTTTCTTTTCGAAATTCCTCATGCTTATGTACTTCGGTTTCGAGTTTGGTCATGAACATGTTTTTACTATTGACAACAGGCACCCAACGCTTTTTTTTTTAAATTTATTACACGCTTTATATTAGCTTCACTTTTATGTTTGTTTGTAACCGACTCCTTTGGGCGTGATTTTGAATGACTTTTATATGGTCAGAATTCGTTCAAACTTTGTAGATACATCGAGAACCTACGACAATACACTAATTAAAAAAAATATATTAAAAAAAATTCGTTTTAAAACACTAAAAAACTTATCAATCATAATCAGTAATCATACCTTTCTTTGTTATTATTGCAATCATTTTCTTTTCGTAAAAAGAAATATATACATATATAAAAAAAATAGTTTAAAAACTAAAACATAGAAAATGAATTTTAGTAAATTTGAAAAAAAAGCGTTGGGTGCCTATTGTCAATAGTAAAAAGCATCCCACGCTTTTTTTCAAATTTATTTTCTATTTTTTAGTTTGGTTTTCTATAAAAAGCGTGTTTTTAGTTTTTTTTAAACTATTATATTTGCAATGAGAACAACGAAAGGTATGATTACACCTCATGAATCACGTAATGACCTTCCAGACTTCCGTAAACTTCCTTCGTCCTTGCAAACTCACCTAATGGATAATTAGATAATTTAACTTTCATACTAGCGTTGTTAAAACCAAGCAAAGAATTGTTTCTTGGCTTCATTTGGTTTCGTTACTCAATAAGTGCGTACAGCTAGAATGTTGCTAATATATTTGCTCGGGTTGTTTTGTGGTGTGCACAGCGCGTTATATTATGACTCGTATACAGGAACAGAGATTACGAGGGAAGATGTGAAAAAGCACGATAAAGCGAATACAACATTGTAAGTTTTTTTGTATTTTTGTATATGAGACATATATGTATATAATTTTTAGCTGAAGTTACAAGTTCAATATAAGGACTTTTACATATAAAGTTATACCTTTTTAATATTTAAATTAAAATGTTGTGTATTTCTTCCTGAAATTTTCAATTAGACAAAACCTATAGTCTATAGTCCCATGCCATCCTTTGACGTTCTTATAAGAATCAGTAGGTATATGAATATGCAACAGCATATTCATATACCTACATACATCTAATTACTTATTATTAGAGTAATGTATATAGTGTAAACTGAATAGGAATTTTCTAAACTAAAAAAAGGTTTCTTGTTACTTCCCCAGTATTTTTTTTTAATACATTTAATAATAAAATAATTATTAAAATAAAATTGAAACCTCCTTTCTGAGGAGAAGCCCATGTCCAGCAGTGGACTAGAAAGGCTGTTGATGATGATGATGATGAAAATTGAACAATTAACATGCATTTGTGAAAAAAAACCTATCTTTTTGATTTTAAAATTGAAATTTTATCTATATTTTGCTGACCGATAAACAAGTTGCTTTTATTTATTTTTTTACAAAATTACGGAATTTAAAAAAAAAAATACGATTACATTGTATTAAAATAGATCACATATTTGTCATCTTGTTAAATCTAAAACAGTCATGAAAACCTTAAATAATAGACATCCGATATTTAGATACATATATAGGGAGATATTTTCACAATAAAGACACTGAATTGTAGAATTTGCACGATCAATTTGATTTGTTCATTGTCTGGGTGTAGTATATCAATAATATGTATGCCTTTTTAAAATATATAAGTATATTTATCAGCAGTCTGGTTACCATAGGATCTGTCTAGTTTGGAATCAGACGGCCGTGTGGGATATGTGTAAAAATATTATATTTTTTTTTAGTGAATTAACAGCAAAGCGAAAATAAACAATAACACATTTCAATACTGAACTGCCTTTTGTAGTTGGTGCGTAAATGAGATCGAACCATGCAACCCTACAGAAGGACGGCGTGTCGATGGTTCCTGCAATAACCTAAAGCATCCCTCAAGAGGCGCTACGCATACACCCTTTGTAAGGCTTCTTCCAGCTGTTTTTGACAAAAGTAAGTCACATCATCATCATCTTCCTGATCTCGTTAAACCCGACTACGACAGAAGTCATATTCTTCGAGTGCATTTGTAAATATAATTGTGTATATTTCTTTGGCACGCTCTGTAGTCTTAACGGCTGGATAGATTTTGGTGTTTGAGATATTGTTAGATTTGTTTTAATCGTGAGAGTATATAAAAATTACCAGTTTGTCAATTTTAAGTGTACGATTTCACACAGTCGGACTTTATGTTTTTGTTCAGTAATAATTAGCTTGTTCCGATTTTGTTTGTAGCCTGCGTAACGCGTTACATTACAAAAGAATTTTGACTAGTGTTTAGGGGTCCTCAAAAGGAATAAACGGAACACTTATAGGATCCAGAACTAGAATTCCTGAACTATTTATAATATGCACCTACAAATGTGTACGGAACCCTTGGCGGGCGAGTCCGATTCGCACTTGTACGGATTTTCTTTTTCATGACTGGATGGAGAAAGACAGTAAATCGGAGTGAATAAAACGGATTTTCTGGCGCAATTTTCTTTTTCTTTTTCTGGAGCATTACAGCCTCACAGAAAGAGACCACTGCGTAGTAATACTTACGTCTATGTAGTAGTTATATTACAAATTATAAAGTATGTGGGTCACCGTTATACTATTCCGACAGAGGTAGCACAGCAGGATGTATATCAGGCAAAGGATGCTGTCAGTGCTCCCTAAACCCAGGCGCAATACCCAGGCGTTGTAGAAGTCGCATGTGTTTCTTTCTTGATTCCTTCTTTTTACTAAAATTTTTACCTTTTCTCAGATTTCGAACCAAGAAAATCATCATCTGGTAATGACCTACCTCTCGCTCGATACCTCAGGACTCGCCTCATATCAGTGGGCCAAGTTCCAAGCACAATCTTCACGATGCTGGCTGTGCACTACTTTGTATTCATGTCTGCTGACGTCCTCTCCTTGCATGACACTGGTAGACAATCATTTTTTGCATATCATTACTTCATATTATATAGCTTTCTTTTTACTATGGATACTTTATGTTTTAGTAAACTATATTGCATGGAAGCCGTACTGCTGCACTGAGAAAGGCAAGACGGATCACATGTGCGTTCCTAACAAGATACCTGAAGATGATCCTGTCCATAGGTTCTCCGGTATCCGTTGCTTAAACATGACTAGACCCGAGTCATTCCAGAGTATTGGATGTGTAAAGAATGACACAGTACCTGATAGGGTAAGTTTCTGGTGGACTTTTCTTATGATATAGGAGGGCAAATGGCCGTCTCCAGCCGGTTATCGTTGAGTAGGCAGGGCCGAAGCTTTCCTTCCGACTGACGCAGGTCCTTTCCGGGCACATCTGCTTCGAGAAGTACCACTCAGTCGCTAGGAGCGAATTGAGTCACCACTGCGATTGCAGTAAGGACTAGGCCCAGCATATGCTGGCAATTTGCCCGGCTTGGGCGTCGCTGCGCCGAGTCCTTATTGCAGTCATCGGAGGGGGCCGCTCGCTACCGGCTGTCATACGCTCCATGGCCGGTAGTGACAGATGTTTTACCGCGGTCGCGCCGTTCTGCGAAGACGTCATCTCCAAGAATCAGGCGGCGGATAGGGCCCAGGAGGACAATCTCGACTCGGACTCAATTTATCGTCGGCAAACCGGGCGGCAAAGGCGCGCTTACTGAGTGAGTGAGAGTGAGAGTGTGGCCGCAGGTGGACGGGACGGGTTTTCCCCTCCACCCGCCATAACGGCCAGCCGCGAGGAGGCGATGTCCGCGTGTACCGGAATACTTAATACCAGCAGTTCCCGGATCCCTCCTATTATAAGCGCAGTATGGCCCACTGTTGAGTATTAGTCGGCCCGATTCCGAGACACCACTCCGCCGCAAACCCCGGTGGGGTAAAAGCCCGAGGGAGCTTCAACAGGTAAAAAAAATTAAAAAAGGGAGCAAACTATTCAGGACATGGGATGAAAAACCATAACCTCGAAATAAATTTTTCTAAAACTAAAATTATCTTCTTCCATCCTTATCAAAAATTCCCATTAGTTATAAACTTTACATATAACAGTTAAAAAATAGAAGTAGTCCCCGAATTTACCCTATTAGGCCTGTCAATTGACACACACGTCAATTGGAAATCTCACATAACGAAATTAAGATCTAAAATCTCTAAGTTCACATATGCCTTACGCGAAGTTAAAAAGACCACCGACCTTCAAACAGCTCTCACGACTTATTACGCATACGCTTATTCCTGGTTTAGTTACGGCATCATATTATGGGGTAACAGCACAGATGCTCCAACACTCTTCACACTTCAAAAAAAACTAATTAGAATTCTGGTCAATATAGGTAGAGGACACCAATAGCTGTAAACCATACTTTAGAGAACACAACATTCTAACACTGCCATCAATTTTTATTTTGGAAATATGTAAATTCGTACAAAAAAATCAACATCTGTTTACAAAAAGAGAGGATAAACAAAAAAACTACACACTACGCCATAGGACTAGACTAAACCTACCCTCATCCCGACTCCAAATCCATTCAAATACCACTCAAGTAATGTCGATCAAAATTTACAATAAATTTTCCGAAGAAATTAAAAATGAAACCATATTAAATATATATTTAAATAAATTAAAACAGTTATTACTACAAAAATACTATTACAACGTCAATGAATATCTGAGCAATAAATAAATTAAGCATGTACATAAAAAACTGAAGTATGATTATTGTTATTAGTTTGTATTATCTCTCCCTCTCTCATCTATTGCTGTGCCCGACAGGGTCCATGATGATCTGATCTTATATTTGAGTACCATCTAAGTAAACATTGTGGGATGCAATAAATATATTGAGTATCGAGTATTGACAACAGCACTGCAAAGAGAAGGAAAAGTTGGCACAAACCCTATATCAACCCGTCTGGCCAGCGTGGTATAGTAGGCCAAAACCTCCTCTCTAAGGAGAGGCCTGTGTCCAGCAGTGGACTATAAAAGGCTGTTGATGACGATGATTACATATTTCATGTTATACACACAGGATAAATTCCTAATGCGGAAGTTGTCTTTTAAAAAAATTGAAAGTGTTATGATTAATCCGTATTTTATTTATCTATTGATGTTATTATATCCCATTACAAATCCATTCTTTTCAGATAGTCTCATCAACTCCTCTACTAGATTTGTCTGTCATATATGGCAACCTACTACCGCCTTTGCTACAAAAAGGTCGCCTATTCACAGGAGGTCTGGTAAAAACTGAGGTTGAGGAAGGAAGGATATGGCCTCCAAGTTATAAGACTCAAGCGAATGTGTGCTTTTTAAACCAGAGACCTAAAGAAACCAGATGTCATCAAATGGGTAAGTTGCAAGACCTTTTTTTGTCTCCAACCTAATAGAAGAACGTATGGCCTATTGATCCAGTGGATAGTGACCCTTACGACTGAGCCAGATGTTGTTGGTGAGTTTCCCACCCAGAACAAATTTGAATAACTGAGCGTTCACGACATGAGTCTGTATATTTTCTATAACATGTATGTATTTAGAAATATGAGTATGTCATCTTCATCTATATGTAACATATCTCACACACGGCCGTCTGAACCCAAAGCAGGCTGAACATACATACTGAACATACTTGCATGATTCATCACATCATATCATATCAGCAGCTTTAAATAGTCCAGTATTGGACATAGGCCACTCCTTAGGAAGGAGGTTTTGTCCTACTATATCACGCTGGTAAAGACTTTGTCTCAAGTCTTCCTTCTCTTCGCAGTGCTATTGTCCTACGTAGTTTGCTCCAAAGTCAGCTCTCATAACACATGGTGTTTCTTAATTTATACATACACAAATTACACCCAGACACGGATAAAGGTTCTAGGTTCACCATACGATCACTTATGAGTGCGAATCGAACTCACGACCCCATAGCAGCCAAGATCATAAACCACTAGACCAACAGACCAATCCAATACCAGGTACACCACTAGATTTTTTTCTTAATTTTCTAGCTGAGGATAGTTCGAACACGCTAGCAGGAATTAATTTGGTATCAATATGGTTCTGGAGGTATCATAACTTTATTGCCACTGAACTAGCCAAGGTCAACCCCTGCTGGGAAGATGAGAAACTGTTTGAGACAGCAAGAGACATAAATATTGCAGTATCGCTACAAATTTATTACTACGAGTTATTGCCAGTGTTCTTTGGTGAGTTTTTTAAAGTTTCCTTTAAATTGATTTTTTGGCAACTAGTCTAGGGTCTTATTATAGTATTATTGTTGACAAAATATTAAAATACTATTTGGATAAGATTACAATATTAAAAAAAAAAAGTTGAACCGACTTCAAACAATACTGACCAAAAGCACTAAAAATTTAAAAAATACGTACAATTCTAACTATCATTACGAGTAGTATCCTCAATATAACAGGTATACAATAATATAATATTAATACAAAACAATGTTCATTATACTAGCCCCTAGTCCCTTCTAGTCTGTTTGAAGTCGGTGCCAAGCCCGATGCACAATTTTTAGTGTATGATATGTTTTTAATGAGTAGATAAATAAGATATTTAAAACACTACGTACCGTAATGTATAGAACCAAAGTGTAGTAGTGTTACTTTCGAAATCAGTTACTTGATATAAAAACCAAATTTAATTTGCCATGAATTTGCAGAGGCCATTGTTGCATTGCTAAACTATTCAATAGTGTTGATGTTACTATAAATGCCAAATACTATACAAATACTATAAATGCCACCTGACCCTTGATGTTACTATAAATGCCAAAGGCTGGATGGATATTTGTTTCGCCATCACATCACACATCGATGTATATGTTTTTAACTGCTTGGTTTTATTATATTCGTATTTTCTAGGTTTTGACAATATGGCTGAAGATGGCGTGATCGATCGCATCGGTGGATTCAGGGACCTGTACGATGAGAACATACCACCACAATTGTCCCTGGAATATCCGTTTGCATTAAGATGGGTGCATAATATCCAAGATGGTACTTTAAAGTAAGTATATTTAAGTAATAAATATTTTCGTCAGTTTTTGTAGAGTTACTTGTAGATAACGTGTGCCGGGCCTGTTGGTCTAGTGGTTAGTGACCCTGACTGCTAAGCTGGAGGTCGTGGGTTCAATTCCACCCAGGACAAATAATTGTGTGATGAGCACGTATCTTTTGTCAATTTGATAAGTGTCAGTTATAATAATAACATAATAACTATAGAAAACTAAATAATTGTTACTAAGGAACGGGAATTAACACGCTAAATAGGTGCTATACCTATGAATGGCCTGACGCTCTACTGGCCGCATTTACAGTCTACTCGTTTAATTCAAAGATATATTATAATAATAACAAACATAATATCGCAACGTCAGACAATTTAAACAGAAGTAATGCCTATTAATCCCATTAATTCCCGTTCGCAATTAATATTATTATACTTATGACATTATAATGACAATACCTATAATATCGATGCACACGTACGACCGAGTTCTGACCACGCTCGACGCCACCTGGTTGCAACGTCAGACAATTCAAAGACTTAAGTATTATTTACGTGATCGTGTTATTCCCCTTTTTTTTTTTCCGTGCGGAAATCCCCTCGGATACCACCTGTCGGTGGCATGTCGGACTCGAACCGACTAAAACCGCACGCCGTCTCGGGTACTAATAGTCGGGGAACCAGGTATACCCTAGAAAGGAAGTCCCTGGTGCCCCGACATACCTCGGGTCATCTACAGACGAGTAGACGACCCCCCCCGTGTGGGAACCCCATGTTCCCTGTGCTCCCTGGAGGCGAGCGCGCTTCGTCGTTCGAAGGTCTAGGCTAGGTCGTTCTGCGACCTCCGGCGCCTGAGTCGAATGCGGTACCTGGCCCGTTCCCGGGCCTGGCGGGCCGGGAGAGTCCTAAACCTCTCCCGGTCCCGCTCCGCCGTCTCCTTCGCGAGCATAACTTGCTCGCAGAAGGAGACGGCAGAGTTCCATGCACTCTCGCTCCGCACGATAGCTGCAATCAGGCTATCGAGCGAGAGAACTCCCACTCCGATGGCCGCCACGAGGTCTCGCCTCTGCTCAACCCACGCCGGGCACTCTGCCAGCGTGTGGAGAGCCGTGTCCACGGTCTGGCCATCGCAGTGGTGGCACTCAGGCGTTGGCTCCTTGCGGATCAGACACAGGTGATCCCCGAAACATCCCTTCCCAGTGATCACCTGCGTCAATCGGTATGAGAGGGTCCCGTGACGCCTCTCGAGGCAATCCTCCATAACGGGTCTTACCGCCGCGATGACGTGTTATTCCCCTACGTATACATATTTATCTATATAAATATAATTAATATTTATAAATATCAAAAAATCTGTATACGAACATTAGTTGGTTCGTATTTTGGTTTGTGTATACTTTAATGATTCAAAAAGTTCTGCACCGATTGTGGCCCAACTTTGACACAACATAGAAGCCGCTTAAAAGACTGTATCTTTGTGCTTCTATTTTAAATATATATTTAAAATACTACATATTACAATTCTAATATAATGTTATGTACTTATTTAATAGTTACTTGCCGTGTTTTGACGGATTAAGATAATGAAGTGTCATCATCCCTATTCATCCCGGGGTGTCGCAAGAGCCGACTAAGGGAGCAATTATACTATAGAGATAATTACTATTAAGTTTGTCAGATTTGTTCAAAAAGGGATACAAAGATTTTTTAAGGAATCTGTGATAACATCTATTCACAAGAGTGGGGGTCACGACGAGGTCAAGAACCAGAGGCCAATCTCTGTCTACCAGCTTTATCGAAAAGGTGCTAAAAGGGCTTTATGAGAGAAGATGTCAAACAATACATTTATAAAATATTTAGAACGTAATGAACTCACAGCCACCCCGGCCTGCTTGCTATGGTGACAGATGGCCCCACCTCATGGCCTGCCTGGCGGGCCGAGACAGTTCTAAACCTCTTCACCTGCTCCACTTCTGCCAGCGTGTGGCGCACCGTATCCATGGTCCGGCCATCACACTGGCTTATTTCCAATTGTGGACGGTTTTTGCCTGAGATGATTGTGATGAAATCCTTTTACAATGTTTCAAATAACTTCCCCAAATAAAATTGGGAAAAGATGGGCCAATGATGATGATCTTCGACTCAGTTTTCCTAAAGCACTCGTTCATATTTTTCACATGTGTGTCTGTAATTGTATATTTGTTTTTTTGTTTAGGCTCCACGACGAAGAAGGGCACTACCTAAGACAATTCCCCATCATGAATCTGACCATGAGGACTGGTTTCTTGGCTGTTGACAACAATATAGACTATTTGACACAGGGCAGTTTCAGACAAGGCAGCGCTAAAATCGACTACATAGCGGATCCTGAGGTAAGTAGGAAACTTTTTATGATTCATACTTTAAATTGTATATAAAGGAGGACCGATGTCCGAGTTGTTTTTTTTATAGAGCGACGTCGGCAAGGGTGACGTCATTCTTTAGATTGTGGTGGTTTTCCTTTATAAAAGCTCTAGTAAATATCAACAACAGTAAATACAATTAAAGATCTATACCTTGTTCTTACCAACAGTCGTACATAGATCCGTACAGTAATAAATAAAGATAATAGTAAACACAGTTAAAGATGTATTCCAAGGTCTTACCAACAGTTGTACATAGATCCGTACAGTAGTAAGTAAAGACACAGTTAAAGATGTATTCCAAGTTCTTGCCAACAGTTGTACATAGATCCGTACAGTAGTAAGTAAAGACACAGTTAAAGATGTATTCCAAGGTCTTACCAACAGTTGTACATAGATCCGTACAGTAGTAAGTAAAGACAAAGTTAAAGATGTATTTCAAGGTCTTACCAACAGTTGTACATAGATCCGTACAGTTGTAAGTAAAGACACAGTTAAAGATGTATTCCAAGGTCTTACCAACAGTTGTACATAGATCCGTACAGTAGTAAGTAAAGACACAGTTAAAGATGTATTCCAAGTTCTTGCCAACAGTTGTACATAGATCCGTACAGTAGTAAGTAAAGACACAGTTAAAGATGTATTCCAAGGTCTTACCAACAGTTGTACATAGATCCGTACAGTAGTAAGTAAAGACAAAGTTAAAGATGTATTTCAAGGTCTTACCAACAGTTGTACATAGATCCGTACAGTTGTAAGTAAAGACACAGTTAAAGATGTATTCCAAGGTCTTACCAACAGTTGTACATAGATCCGTACAGTAGTAAGTAAAGACACAGTTAAAGATGTATTCCAAGGTCTTACCAACAGTTGTACATAGATCCGTACAGTAGTAAGTAAAGACACAGTTAAAGATGTATTCCAAGGTCTTGCCAACAGTTGTACATAGATCCGTACAGTAGTAAGTAAAGACACTGTTAAAGATGTATTCCAAGGTCTTACCAACAGTTGTATATAGATCGGTACAGTAGTAAGTAAAGACACAGTTAAAGATGTATTCCAAGTTCTTACCAACAGTTGTACATAGATCCGTACAGTAGTAAGTAAAGACACAGTTAAAGATGTATTCCAAGGTCTTACCAACAGTTGTACATAGATCCATACAGCCCAACGCCTCGAGCGAGAATGACCGAGTACGCGCAATGCAGCTAGTTTTTTTAAAACGCATTGTTCGAACAAGTGCTGTATTTTCTTGTTGTGTTTAGATAAAACGATTCTTCAGGTTATTTCTTAAGACTTACTATCAAAGCTTTTACTATCAAGACTTACTATCAAAGCTGCTACTATCAGCTGCTTCACTTAAGCTTCAAAGCTTAAGTGCGGTAACTTTTAGTCGTTCCGATGTATATTTAAAAAATGTCTTGACGGTAAAGAAAAACTAAGACCTTAGCTCAGTGGACTAAAAGCTCCAAAACAATTTACAGGCTCCATCATAAGATCAAAATAAAAATAAGACATCCTTACAGATTAAATTTGCTGCATTAAATATTTAACAATAAACACAAACATTTTATTAAATTGCACAACATATGAACAATTGTATTTTATTGGACCTATATTAATTAGAATTTTTTTAGTAGAAAATTTAATATTCTCAAAACAGAAATTTACTTTAAACCACCAGTGTAGCCTCTCTAAAACATTTTGATCCATCTTGGCTGCCTGCAAGAAATTGCACGTAGCGAAACGACCATCCTTCGTACATTATGTGTATCATACTCGTCAAAAATGTCACTCGTGTAAAAATGATGTCGTGTCCTGTCTATCTAATGTTTATATCAATATGATCAGGTCAATTTTTGAATGAAGAAATATTTGTAATGCAAATCTTAATTTTTTTAAAGCATTGTTTGTAGAATCCAATTGAATACATTCTATTACTTGAGCAATAATTTTCGATATTGTCATCACTATCAGTTGTAAGATTAATTACTAAATTGGTCTTCGTCCTAAGTTACACGTAAATATAATATATTTTTTATATCTTTAAAGACACGGGTTTTATGCAATAAAGCCTACTTTGGCTTACGCTTGCGTTCGTAGCTCCACTTCAATAGCAATTATAACGAATTAGGATCTCATTTTCACATAAAAAGTGGCACCAACTGCGTGTTATCACAATTTGGAATAGTTAGTTGTGACTTTCGACAGAACTTTTTATTCTATTTCCATTTTATAATCATAAACCTACGTATGTCCGTCTCCAAATTTTCAACTAGCTTAATAACTACCAATAAACAGATAGTCTAGAATTATTTATTATTTCAAAGTTGTTTTGTTACGTCGGATGTCATATGAAAGTTTTTATTACAGGTGACGGAACGAGGTCTAGGCCCTCATCAAAAAGTGTCAGATATAGTAACAAATGATTTGTCCAAAAACCGTTACTTTGGATTCCAACCTTACGTCAATTACAGACAGTTTTGTTTCAATAAACGGATTAAGAGCTTCGACGATCTTCACGGCATCATTGATGAAGAGGTAAATACATATAAAATAATTTATTTTACATATTATTGTGTAATGAGCAAGATTATTTGTTTTGTGTCTGAGTATAATCTATCTATAATTATAATTTGTAAAATGTATTTGGTAATACGAGTACATAAGTATGTTTGTCGGTCGTCTGGTTACTCTCTGCCTAGTTTGTGACCAAACAGTGCGGGATGTGTTATGTTATTATTTTTATTTTTAAATATACACACACATATATATATAGGTATATACAAATGTATAGTACGACACAGATTTTATATGTATACCTTTAAAAGGCATACATCAACTTAAGTTTTTCTATTAACAGTTTCCATTAGCTTCTAACTAACTAAATAATCAAATATTCCCATTTAATTTAAACCTTTTCTTTTTTTTCCGTGCGGCAATCCCCTCGGATACCACCGTGGCATGTCGGACTTAACCTACTTGTAATTGTCTGGATTACATAACAATACCATTTAACATTTACGTAATAAATCATGGAGAGTGCTTTCCGCTATCGTTCCCCACTTTTTTGCAAATTTTCATCAACATCATTTCGATAATTGGCACTAAATCACTGTACGCTTTTCAAGACACTTTTTGCCTCGCACAACCAATCTGTAGAACAAGTTATCTTCTGCGGTTTTCCGAACCGATACGACCTTTAAACCTTACAGAAAAGAGCGTACTCCTTCCTAAAAGGCCGGCAACACGTTCATGGGCGGCGGTAGTTGCTTTCCATCAGGTGATCCCTCTGCTCGTTTGCCCTCTCCTAGGCCTATGTCCAGCAGTAAACTGTTAAAGGCTACTTAAGACGATAGAGGCTAGGAGGATAATGAATATTTTCAGCAACAACTGGTCACTGAAGATTCTATACCAAACCTACAAGTATGGGCTCCTTTCTTTCGTTAGGACCTGTCTCATTAATTGGGTATAGTAACGATGACCTGATGATGAGGACAAATTCTGGAAGGTAGAACTTTTAACTGGGTTTGCTATAAAGCGATTAAAAGGAAGTTTTTTTGATTAATTTATTAGTTAACTACAATAGAACATAATTGTTTGCCTACAAGTTTACATTCAAAACTGTTCAATTAAAATGCTTAACAACTTAGATAAAAGGAACTACATCGAAAATGTTTACAACGAATTATTTCTTGTTTCTTCGAATTCTTGTGTTTTATACTTTTTTATATTTAGTTTTTTTTCCTTTGATTATATCTAGTACATTCCTTATCCGAAGATCTTTTAATTTATGAGTAATAAAGCATAGCTAATTGGCTATAAATTTATTGTATATATTTAACTACACCTAATGTAAAACTTAAATCAAATGAAGTTACTGGTATGTGACTCATATATATATTTAAGTAATAACTTGACGCATTTAGACCCTGCACTATGGTAATCAAACCGCCAATAAACATACTTAAATAACTCTAAATACATACATATTGTAGATATATACATAATACAGAAAAAAATATCGCATTCATTTACTCGTATACTTATTATGTATGTTTTTGAATTAACATTTCCTTCCATTTCAGAGAATAGAGGTGTTAAGAGAAATGTACGAAAAAGTTGAAGACATAGACCTACTGGCCGGTATTTGGACGGAGAAACCAATGCGTGGTGGTTTCGTACCTCCTACATTCTATTGTCTGGTTATAGATCAATTAAAACGTAATATTTACTCCGACAGGCACTGGTATGAAAGGCCTAACCGACCAAATGCGTTTACTTTCCGTAAGTGTTTTGATGTTATCATGTGTCAATGAGGGGTTTGCGTAATTTGTTATGTTTTACAACCAATAATAATATTTTATCTAATCATATATTATATGCTTACGTAGTACAGTTGCAGGCAGTTTATTTTATGTTTTTGATTTACTTGTTTTTTAATTGCTAAACAATAGACTCAAACACCACTTAGACTAGGGCAACTGTTCGTGGATCCTTTACATTGTTGGTAATCGAACACCTAATAATAAATGACTACCGACTCCTATGGCCGTATGGTGTCACAAGTTAGATAGTTATAGTCCATCAACGTCGTGCGCGACCGTCCTGCGGGGTGACAGACGGTGGCGGGGACGAGGTACTCAAGATGTCAGCGGGTAGCGGGTGGTGAAGCGGGGAAGGGAAACGCGATACTTCTTTTCGTGTTTCCCTTCCCCGCTTCACTTCTTTTCGTGTGTAGCCGTGCGCTAGAATGACGCGCTACCTCGCCCCCGCCACTGTCTGTCACCCCGCGGGACGGTTGCGCACGAGATTGCCGGGTTATAGTTAGGCGTTCCTGAAGTCAGATTCAGATTGTTTAATGTATGTTTTTACATCTTAATAGTTATATTTTTATATGGTAGTTATATTTTATATGGCTTAAGGACGTGTTATAAATAAAATCACTTCTTGACTTGCTGACTATAATTCTCATATAATTAGAGTATTGCATACACAGACTTTGACTAGGTACGCGACAGTGTCGCAGACAGCAGAGAAATGACTACCAGTCGTGCCTTATTGACGAGACATAACTTACTAACATAGTGATGTTACAATAAATATCACTGATTCCTGTTTTTTTTTTTAATTGACGTGCACATGTCGGGTAAACCCCACTACTTAAGAGTTCGCCAGATGCCCTATACTATGAGGTAAAGTGACGTGTGGTGTCAGTATAAGATGATGTACATAAGTTTGGCCCCGAAATTAATTGAACTTTATAATGGCATGCTTCTGTAAAATCGTACGTCTCAATGATAAATAAATGATATCATAGAAATTTTATTTATTTATTTAATCTTAGGTTTGCCTACAATTGTTACACCTTTCTTAAAAATAATACATGCATGTTTTATAGAATATAGGTGTACAACATTAATTGGCAAACACAACATATATGAAAAAAAGTGCAGCAGAAATAAACAGAAACATACAAAAATATACAAAAAATCACAGATACACACAGAAATGCTTATTTTTCAGTTAAATGATTAAAAGTTAAATTGTTAATGTTTCCTTGTTTTTTTTAGGTACATAATATATTTTGTATTAAATTTGTGTAGTATTTATAATATAATATCTGTTACATACAGCTCAGTTGGCTCAAATAAGAAAGGTCACGATCGCAAGAATGCTGTGTGATGTTGGAGACACCGTGAAAAGAATTCAACCGCACGCTTTCCTGAAAGCTGGATTTAAGTAAGTTTAATATAGCTTTAGTACGCTATTATTTCGCCTTCTTATTCGAATATTGCTTCATATTATTACATCCGTTTAAGAATTCGGAATGTCACTAACCCTATTCATTCCGTGGGCGTCGTAAGAGCTGACTAAGGGAGCAAACTACGCAGGACAACGTCACTGGAAAGAGAAGGAAAACTTTACACAAACTCTACAACAACTACTCTGGCCAGCTAATATAGTATGCCAAAACCTCCTTTGTGAGGAGAGGCCCATGTCCAGCAGTGGAATATTAAAGGCTGTTGATGATGATGATAATGAATAGAGGTCAAGTCTATACTTGAGCCCTATTAGATATATGGAAGTAAAATTATAGATGGCAGAATGTTCTAAGGGGCGTTTAATACGTATCTTTCTACTTACTCAATTTGAGCAAGAATAAGGAGACTGCTATTTTTATTGGCAAGAGCCTCAGTGGATGATTTCGCAAGCAATATCAACCTCTTTTCTTTACACGTAACTATCTTGATTTTCATTAGTATTGATACTTATTTTAAACTGACCCGTGCAGTTTTGTCTACGTCTCCAAAAAAGGAATAAATTTTCCTTGGTTTGCAACATTTTTCATAATGCTCGGTTCCAATTGGTCGTAGCGTGATGTTATTAAAGATTTTTTTCAATATAGTATAGTAAATGTAGTAACCAGTAGCTTATAAGATTAGCGCGTTCAACGAAACAAACGAATAAAGAACCTCCTTTTTTTTCCGTGCGGAATTCCCCTCGGATACCACCTATCGGTGGCATGTCCGACTCGAACCGACTAAAACCGCACGCCGTCTCGGGTACTAATAGCCGGGGAACCAGGTATAACCTAGAAAGGAAGTCCCTGGTGCAATAAAGAAACTCCTCAGCTTTATAATATTAGTATAGAATAAATGACTGCAGTTGGTTAAGTGATGACATTTGGTTTATAATTTTAGTTTTCCATAAAAACTAATCCTTTCCTTTTAAAACTGTTTAGTGACCACAGGTTTGCCTTATTACACACATAAAATAAGGAGTGTTCGAAAGCAGTTTTCTAGAAATGTTTTCTTATTCTTGAACAAATCCAGTAGCAATTAATCAAATATTTTTGGACAAACTTCCTAAAGGTTCCTAACTAAAAGACAGACTGAGAACTAATGTAATATTTTATAAGATGGAATTTTGCAACAAGTTTGACATGACGATTACGTATACTTTGAGTACGCTATAAAGAGTTGTGAGACTTCTACAAATATGAGGTGGTTTAAAGCAATAAATAGTTTATTTGTGATAAGATATATATGTATTATATTGGAAATGTATTAAAGCCACACACGAGAAAGTTACAATCAGACCCAAGAGTAGATTAGAAGGAGAAACGAAGTAAAGAATTTATAATAGAACTAGGTACACTTTATTAGGCAACGTTAAACTTAAGAATGACACACGCGATATGAGGGATGCAATCGGTAAGGGCGCGAAGACATTTGGCGTCGAAGTGTTTATACGAACGGCGCGCGGCGCGGGCGCAAGCCCTCGGCCGCTCGCCGTCACAAACCGGTTTTGCATTCTTCATATTTTACATTATTAAATATACACAACAGAAATAGTTTTGTCTGTCTATATACGCAAATATTATGTCTACTATTGTACATGTTAACAAGCGCACTATTTAAGCAATTACTTACAGATAAAAGCCTCAAATTAGTTAAAATTATATTAAATATAAATATATAAATATAGCTATGCTACAAATGTAAAGAGAAATTGATAGACTACCTCATGTTCAGGCGAAAAGCGTTACCTACTAATGATTTAGCTAGTGAATAAACAATATTATATAGTATATTTACTATTGAAATAATCCAATAAAAATATCTACTAACAAAAAATAAAAAAGTTAAAATATTGGCATTTTCTTTTTGTAGGAACCCGATAGGTGATTGCAAACACATCATGAGCATGGACTTCTCCACTTGGAAAGATGATTCTTGCGGCGCCGGCGGTGGATTCTTCGATCATCTCTTTGAACAAGTAGTTGAAAAACGTTAATCAAAAAAAAATAGCCGCAGTCTATGTTTTTTATAAAGTTTCATATGTATGTTCGTTTGTATAAATGGTACTCGTATATTAAATAATAATATACTATGACTGTCTTTTTTTTCTCTTTTATACACTCAAGCAATAAACGTGCTTATACGTTCTACCTAGACAACAAATTTGTTATGGGATAGGGGCAGAACAAGCTGACGGTACTGCCTGATGGCAAACGAAAATTGCCGCTAGTGAGCATCTGAAAATGAAGAGTCATAGTGCCTTATCAGCCTTTTAATCCCTCCCTCTCTACTCTGTGAAATGTATGATAGAATTATGCAACATGCAACATGCGGTTTTCTGTACCGATGCTTGGCTATCCCACGGATGAAAGATCTTCAAGAAAAGAGCGTACCCCTTCCTCAAAGGCTGGCAATGCGCTTGTGACATCTGAGCCGCAGACGTTCATGGACGGCGGTAGTCGCTTTCCATCAGGCGACCCATCTTCCCTAAAAAAGGTGATCTATTAATTTTTCATACAGGTTGTCAGGGACACAAAAACAACGCGAGAAAAGTGTCTGAAATAAAAATCAGATGCCCTTATACTGTTTTTGTAATAGTTTGGTATACGGTGGTACGTTTTAAATTTGGAAGGAAATATTATATTTTATTTTCCAGATATGACAATGTTGTTGATATCAAGATTGATGAGCCATTGTCACTACATCGACAGTCTATTGATACTGAGAATTTTTGTAGAACACTGATATTTTGACCGATGTTAACAACATCTCAATAGCGTGTCGGTGGCTTGTACGTTAACATAAAATAGCAGAATTGAGGCCCTGTTCGTTTCAAGTACATAAAGAACATCCAATTAAAGAACATGGTAAATATATTGGTAATTAAAAGTACTAATTTTACTTTCAATGCAAAACGTATTTTAAAAAAAACGTGGTTACGTTAGAATACACTACTGAAAATCGTTTAAAATATATTCATACAATCAGAAACTATGGCGCTGTAATCTTTTAATTGATTACCACCCTATGCTATATCCATAGATGTACTCACCCAAGTACATTATATAATTTCCTTTTATCTGTATTTGTATGTTAAAGAAATCACTTTTAGTCGATTGCTGTTGCCCCATGAAAAAAAATATGAAACAGTTCACAATTTAATAAAATTGAACTAATAAAGACCTATTTCTGAGCGTTCCCTGGATTCACCGTGGATTCACCATGGATCCATCACGTGATAGATGGGGTAACACATGCAACTTCGACAGCGCCTGGGGATTGCGACCCAGGTATAGCTTTAGGGAGTACTATTTGGGACGCGTCGGTGAACGTCACCTGGAGTATGTGGAGGTGACTGTGCTGTGTGTGTGTACTGCTGTGTTACAACCTCTACCTAACCATATTTGATACGAGTCATGTAACCATTTATTCTGCATACCTATGATCATTGCGTGCACCTTGTACGTCTCGTTTTCATCTTGTTGTAAGAAACATTTCTTCTAGTAGTATTCTTCTAGTATTTCCTAATCCAACTCTACTGGACCGCTCGAGCTCTGATGAATTTTCATCTTTTGGAAGGGATCTAACTATTTGGTCTTGTGATTTCGACAAGATATGCAATTCGGTAACTCTTAGGTGTTTGTAGAGTTCCCAAGGTCTTTTTTATTTCATTCCAAAGTCATTCGAGCCCCTGTACAACGTTGACGGGTCTGCAGATAGTGCTAGCCCGAGACACGACTTCAATGTCTTAGTGACTTTCGCGTCCAGTGTTCTTAAGTGGTTCTGGTTTATATCGTATACGTTGAGACGAGATGTTAAGTAGTTGCCTTAAATCCAAGCTTTTTTATGTTACTTATTGACTGGTAGTCTACCTTGTCAATGTCTTTTACGAAACCATTGACTATTGCGTTCATAGATGGCGTACAACCTTTGTAGTCTAACTTTCTTCGTAGGAATTTAAAGAGCACGGTTTCTGATATTATTCAAACACTTTCCCCACCAATAGTAATCCCGGGTCTTATAAGGTATTTCTGGTACCTCGCCAGCCCAGTTTAAAGCAATAGCATTTGCTAGGTTTTGTCCTTATTCCCTCCGTCCAAGTACAGAAGTCATCCATCTTACGCAGTAGTTGTTTGCACTGCTTTGGGTAACGATGGATTGCGTATATTTTCCATTGACATTAAACCAGTTTTCGTATGTTATGATATTGTCTATTAATATATTTATAACTGTATTAAATACTACTGGTGATAAACAGCAACCTTGGAAAACCCCTACTCTGTATTCGAGGGGTTTTGTATGTCCCTCTTTTGCTTTGATTACTGATTGACTGTACTTGTGATTAACTGGTTTTGAACTAGTACTGCTGTAACAAATTTAAAATTTCGGATTTGCATACTGAATGCGGATCATCAGTTTATGCGTGTTGTAAGTTGTTGTTTTCGTAAATAGTTTCTAAATTCATGAAAGACTCGTTTTACTATTTATGTCCGCCTCGGCATCACACGAGTGGTGTACAGTTGCGGACTAAAGTAATGTCACATTACCGGTAAATTCAAATAAGTTGGATTATCAATAATTCCATATATTGACATTAGATTTACGAAAGTAATTAACACGTCAAATTAAAAAGTACCAGAAATGTTACTCGTTACGTGCTTCATGATAAAAAATGAGACAGAATCTTTTAGGATACGTTTACCATACGACCATGTAATGAAATAAAATTATAATAAATAAATAATTAGACCTTAACCTATTGTAATGCCTTTTAACGTACAATATTTTTCTCTTTTCTTTCTGGAGAGAAAACAGATAGCGCCAATGGTTTGCTGATTCTCGAGAACGCAACGTACAACTTTCCATGTGAAAAACAAGGCAGTGCAAGGTTTATTCCACACGCTTCTAACGATTGTCTTTGGGATTTGTTAATAGTCATTGCGAATGCAAGGCGCTCTGCTACTGATTATGATCATGCAAGAGTTGTTGTAGCTGCATGATAATCTCTCTCCTACCTGAACGAATGATTGCATAACGTTGGTTTACTTCAGCTTCAGAATTCCCCAGGAAATAACTTAGAAGAAATGCCATCAACTGATGGCAAAAATGCTCCTGCATGGTGGTGGGTTCGTCCTTGAATCTGTTATACTGAACATAAGGAAATATTTAAAGAAATCTTCATTTATAAGCCTTAATACAATTTTCATATATGTAGGTTTATGATGTGGATAATGTATGTAACAAGCGGCAATAATAAACGAAACGATTTCACTTATTAATCAATTATTTATTTTATGATTATACTTGTAATTTTTATACGTATATAATTTGGCAAGAGTTCCGACTTATTCAAATGTACACAAAGGAATGATCCTCCAAATGAGCAGGACAGGAATAACCATGTTTTGACGAGTTGGATGTGACGTCATCGACGATTAATGTAAACTAAACTGTCGTGGCGTGGCATTGGCTTGGCTTGACTTCATATGGCTTGGCTTGGCTTCATATAGATTGGTTTGGCTTAATATGGCTTGGCACGGCGTGAGTTACACATAGTAAAAAAACATAACTTAAAAGTTAGATTGAAACCAAGTTCTTCAATTATATTTGCACCAAATGATGTCATCTGGAACGCACTATTGTAATTTTGAAAGTTTTTCAAGAAATGCTTTGACAGGGGTTCTTGCCCGGAAAGTAATGAGTTTTTGTTCAGGTCACAGGACACGTCAGTTGTGGTAATTTCCCACAACATAATCCTGGCGGTTCTAGTCGAAACTTCAAAGGATTGCAATATTGACAAATAATGGTTATTGTTTCAAAATCTTATATCTAAACGCTAAACGCTCATAGGTAATTAATTTATTTATTTATTAGGATCTCCTACGAAAGATATAGACAAGTAAAAGAACAATAAATAAATTGACTGAAGGGGTGTTTTTTGTTTTATCGTCTGTTTTAATGCCCCTCGCTTGAAGTCGATGGTATGGGCTCTTCCGGAGTCGTGGTAGATCTCGCTTGAAAAATTCTTATTCTGTGTAGTAAATAGCAACAACAGTAAATACAAGTAAAGACGAATTCCAAGTTCTTATCAAGAGAAGTACATAGATCCGTACGGTCCGACGATAGTAAATAAAAACAACAGTAAATACAATTAAAGATGATTTGTATTGCAAGGTCTTACAAATAGTCTCACATAGAAAAGTTCTTCAAGTGATTTTTTTATACTAACTATTAAAACTTCAGTTATAATCAATTACAATCTAATTTAATAAGTTTTTTTAAAGTTTGAAAAAGACTACAAATGTGGATATTTGTGGTCTTCATCATCAGTGTTACTTCCACTCCTAAGGTGGAAAAAAAACCTTTTTACCTAATTTATTTAGGCAAGATGAAGTCGGCCATACTATGTTCAAAAAGATAATTATATAACTTTCCAGTTAAATGTTGCCTACAGCAAGTTCGTTTCATTTCAGCGTTACTCATTCTAATAAAAATACGTACAAGTTTTTAACACAACAGTAACAACACGTCAACAGAATATAACTTTGGAACTTCACGCATTCGGTTCTACAAAATCGTAATTTTGTCGTCAAATTAACGAACAGACGCGACTTAAATGGGATGCGATGGTGTGGAACTGAAACATTTGTTTCTATATTTAGGACGTATTGTAGAAACATCAAAGGGACATTTTTGGAATTGGAATTGCATACAAAACTAGCGAACTTGCAGTTACATAATTATCTTATTTAATTTAACCTGTAGTTTAGGGTTATAATAGAAATCATTTGGTTATCATCAAATTATTTGAGTTTATTTATCCTATTTGGTATATCTTTAACCCTTGGTTCCGATGTGGAGACCCGTTTTTTTTATCATCTGGAAACTCCCACAGATTATCATCCCTCGCTGTAAAGAGGCATGTCGGAATCGAACTAATTAAAACTAGATGGTTCTCCGTCACATGTGACTGTACTGCATTGTACTCGGGTACAG